AACCTGGGCTGGGGATGTGGCTCAAGTGGTAGCGCACTCACCTGGCATGTGTGCGGCCCGGGTTCGATCCTCAGCACCACATACAAACAAAAGATGTTGTGTCCGCTGAGAACTAAATAAATAAATAAATATTTTTTAAAAAATTCTCTCTCTCTTCCTCTCACTCTCTCTTAAAAAAAAAAAATATCCAAGAACCTGAAATAAAAGAAGCTGGGAAAAACTGAAGGAAATGCATATGCAAGAAATAAACTTTGTAAAATTGGGAGTTAGACGGGAGCCAGTCTCCTCCAGTCTCTGAGCCACACGGTCAGTTTTATTCACACAGCTCAATAACTAGAATTTCTCCCTAGCCCATAAACATTTAGAGATGTCAAATGCTTAGGATCACTTTTAAAGATTCCACATATTTATAAGCCCCTCCAGACACCAGCAGCCTCCTCTTCCTGTAATGGGGTTCACTTGATGCTTAGACTATATCCCTTGTAGCTTTGAAGCTTATATGTTTGTTTGTATGTTTGTTTTACTTTTTCCCAATCTTCTTCTCCCTAAACTTCTCCTTCCTGATATCGCCTCCCTAATCTCATTTTCTCTGAATCACCTGTATAAAAGCCACCCTGTTTCTACTAATGGGCAGAATCAAAGCCTTTGGGACAGGAGTCCCCTATGTTTCTCCTTTCCTAGCAAAGCAATAAATCTTCTTTTTCCTTTTTCTCAAGACCTTGTCTTCATTATTGGATTGGTGTGAGGGCGAGGACCAAGCTTTTGGTTACACTCCCTGTTCCTTGCCCACTGTCTCTACTGTACCAAAGGGCAATGGCAAGCTCATCTGCATCCAACCCAAGGATTACATGAGGAGTCTGGGGAACAGATATGCATATCCCAAGATCAAAATCAAATATCCCAAGGAAACTAGGTCTATTATGTACTCATCAATGACACCTATCTCCTACTATCATGGCCAAGTTGTAAGCCACCTGTATCCCTCTGTTCATTAAAACTAAGATCCTGCCCTGCTTTGTAGCCAGGAAGACCACATTACACTTCTTTAAGACCAAGAGAAAAAATGGAGATGATGCTCGCTCTCCACTCCCACGCCTGGTTTATCTACTGCCCAAGCAGGTCAGTGTTTCAAGAAGTTCAAGAATGGAGATCCTGGGCTGGGGATGAGGCTCAAGCGGTAGCGCGCTCGCCTGGCATGCGTGCGGCCCAGGTTCGATCCTCAGCACCACATACCAACAAAGATGTTGTGTCCGCCGAGAACTAAAAAAATAAATTTAAAAAAAAGGAATGGAGATCCTGTTAGAAAACTTCTGGAAAGACAAGAAGAGGCACTTTGGGAGGAGTGAGGAAAGTTTTTAGACACTAGAGATGGCCTGATTCACCCCTTTCCCCCACTTCAAGGAGGCTAAATGAAAAAACAGTTCATACCTAGGGGCAGGGGCAGCTGCTGTGCTCACCATCCTGTCTTTTTATTTCCCAGCTATTAAACTCACATAAAGAAGGTGGTTGAAGAAACTGAAGAACTGTCACTGGTGGACTGTGAACTCCTCTTAAGACTGGAAATAACCACTGAGAAAGCACCAAGCATCTGCAAGGAGGCTGAAGCACCTGGTGTATAGTAGCTCATTTAATCTTCACAACCCTGTGAGACTGGCAGATTAAGGAACTGAAGCAGAGAGACTAGGGACATTCTCTAAACCCACACAGCTGCTTAGAAGTGGGGCCCTACCTGAACTCAGGAAGCTGACTCCAGGCCTATATTCAACATTCCACCATTCTGCCTCTTTTATATACACTCTACCACAAAGCCTGGAATTCAAACCTATTGAACAAATCCCTACCTTTATACATGTATGAGGCAGCACACTTCATGATGTCTCATGAATACAAAATGGTCAGCAAGACCAGAAATCTACCTCAGTAAGTGGGAGCAGAGCAGAAGATTCTACAGTTCAGCTGACTCATTACTATCTAGGCCTCCCACTATCTTCATGGCTGTCCCTACCTGAGCTGCCCTTTTGTATGAAAATGAACACTGGGTCAGGCAAGGGAAATAACACAATGTGACTAAACCTAGGTCCCAACACCTCTAAACTGCTGATGTCCTTAAGCCCATCATTAACATCATCTTAGGGTTAACAACCTTAGAGATCAATCTGCAAACTAAACAACTATTTACTATTCAAAGATGATACAAATATGGAATATGGACTCTTGACAGCAGAAAAAGAAGAAAAATCTTGGGACTTTCCAAGGGGAGAAAGAGGCAGTAGAAACAGAAACACCATTTCACCTTCTCTACAGTATTGCTTAGGGCTGAGTGTGGCTGCCTCAGTATCTCTACTTCCTTAATACCCTGAGAGCAGAGGATAGGAAAGAGACCAAGGGGAATGAATAGTACAGGAGACCTCCAGAAAGGAAGGAAAGAGAATCTTCAGAACTATCTTATGGAACTCTTAAAGTAGTGCTCAGTGCAGAGACAGGACTAGACACCAAAACTGCCTTGAGCACATCCCTCCAGAGGAAAAGGAATTAGTTGGCATTTCCTTGATAAGAAACTGTAACCAGGCCTGCCAGGAACCAAGAAAAAAACAGGTATTTCCTCTTTATACACATACTGTAACTCCCATCTTCTTCCAATGGATGTTAAAATAGTTTATATTTGACAATTTAATTAACCTCAGTAGAGACCAAATGATTTTTAGCCAGGCACAGTAGTACAGGCCTGTAATCCCAGAAGCTCAGGGGAGAGACAGGAGGATCAAGAGTTCAAAAACAGCTTCAGCAACAGCGAGGTGCTAAGAAACTCAGTGAGACCCTGTCTCTAAATAAAATACAAAATAGGGCTGGGGATGTGGCTCAGTTGAGTGTTCCCGAGTTTGATTCCCCTTGAGAAAAAGACTTCTAAAGTGCTTATTTTCAGAAACTATGAAGCTATTAGCTAGGCACAGTGGTGCACACCTGTAATCCTACAATCCTAGCTACTTGGGATGCTGAGGCAAGAGGATAGCAAGTTTGAGGCTAGCCTCAACAACATAGTCAGATGATGTCTCAAAAAAAGGGGTGGAGGGCTAGGGGTGTGGCTCAAAGATAGAGCAACTCCAGATTCAATCCCCAACACCCACTGCCCCCACAAAAAAATTAAAAATAAATTAAAAAAAACAAAGTATGAAGCTCTTAATTCATAAAACAAATTAAATTCAAACCCTTATAGAAGGTTATCTCCATTATGCATCCATACAGGCTAAGTCTTTTTTTTTTTTTTTAGTTGCTCTTATTCTATTATGACTTTTTCATTGTTGTTTTTTTTTTCAGGCTGTCTTAAATGTCCCACCCCTGGGGACCACAGAGCTGAATCAAACCAGCATGGGCATTTCTCCCTGAATTTACAGGTTGCTATATATGGTGTTACCTAAAGGCTACACTGTAGTCAGGTAAAATTTACTCACTCTGGTCCTTAGATGGGTCTCATTTCTAGTCTGATAAAGGCAGATGGGGAGGAAAAAGGGAAGAAGTGTCAGGGTGAGGGTTGAGGAGTAGGCTAGGAGGAAATGAGATAAATGGAAGGCAATGAGATAACTATGATCACATTTGTTAAACTCAAAGTCAAGATTAGTAACTGCTACAAGACTTATAAGAACAAGATATCCACCAATGAAGGTCTAACTTTCTAGTGAGACTGGATGCCTCTTCCATCTAAGTAACTAGCCCTGGCATCTTCCCCTAGCCCAGGACAATCTCCCTCTTTACCTGAGATAAACATCACACAGGTTAACAGAGGCAGACAAATCCTCCAGTACAGTGAGATCATCAATCCAGAAACCATTCTGCTATTTCATTATTCACAAAGTAACCTCTTCTATTGAAATAGATGCATCCTGGAAAGGCAAAGGCTTTGGAGTTTGGCAGATGAAAAAAATTGAATCTCAGCTCCACTATTCTCTCGCTAGTAAGTAAAAACATCTAGCAGTACCTGGCTCCAGGATCTAACTTCCTAAGTGTTCATTTCTACTCAGTATTTATAACTGACCTCAAATTCACCTCTTGTAAAATAATTTTAAAAATCTGTTTTGTCCAGAGGGAGAACAAGATGTCTAACCTCTTGAGATTAGTCTAACCTCTTATTTACACAGTCTCTCCAATACTAGCAGACATAGGTCACATGTCCCTAAGTGCTGCCTTGTCTGGGTTAAATATCTCCACTTCTTTCAACTACACTTCACATGACATCTCCTGACCCCTCCCCAGCTTAGCAACTCTCCCCAAATCAACTTCAGGCCCTCTTTAAGAAGACTCAGGTGTTGCCACAAACCTAATTCATTCTAGGTCCTTGGCGGGGGTCTGGACCCCAAACCAGGGCTAGGAGCAGTCTGTGGGTTCTCAGAATTTGCACCCAGAACACAGCTGTGCTTTCTGGCCCCCACTCTCTTCCCGGGGGTCTCAGTGGGTGGTTTACACGGATATTATTCACAACATTGTGTCCACCAGCCGCGGATGCGCATCACCCTAGATCCAAACAGTTGTATTACTCTCAAGCCGAAGATAAACACACTCCGTGCTCTTACGCAACCTCCCCGGTCCAAGACGCCCAGCGCAACAACAGAAACTCAGAGTAACTGTTTTCCTCTTCCGCGGCTCGCACGCCCATCCCGGCCCCATCCAACTCGGGGACTTGGCACCTGTGCGACTCATTTAGAGTGTTTACAAAGCACAGTCGCTCCCAAGGGTTCTCAGAAAATAACCCCCGGCCAGGAAAACACCTGACCGCAGGAGGAGGGCGTGGAGACCAAGCAGCCGGCAGGCCACGCCAGGCCCGCTCCAGGTCCACGCCGTGCTCACGGAGCCGGCAGGCGGCGCGGTGCACGCCGGGTAGAGCGCGGCAGCACGTGAACACGGCGTGCGGCGCGACCGCGGCGGGGCGAGGCGCGCGATGACTGGCTCGTGCACCGCGCGCCCCAGCCAATCCGCGCGGATTAACCTTTCCAGGCCCCGCCCCTTCCTGCCGCCGCCGCCGCCGTCACAAGTCCTCGGCTGACCTCCGGAGGGATGCTCTGCAGTGCGGCACAGTGAGGCCCCCTGACTTCATCGCGGGAGACTTTAGTGGGGGCGCCTCAGTATCCCCATAGCATGGAGGGGGGAGGTCCCTGAACAGACAGCGTCCTGACCTTCTGCGGGAGCGCCCGCGCTGTGCCCATCTCTTGGTCCTTGGTCGTCTCCAATATTTCTTCATCTCCCTCCCCGCAATGCCCGACTCCCAACAGGTATAGGTAGGCCTTAAGGGTTAACATTCAGTCTGTATAGACGTCTCTTTCTCTCTCTCTCTCTCTTTTGCCTTGAAGTATCAAAATTTTATACGCTTATTATGCCATAATTGAAAGAGCATAAAATATTGCTAGTGGTACTTCCAGACTCCTTCCTGTATATTTTATAAAGTCCCAGGAAGACGTACTGAATGTGTGATCTCTCTCTACGCAGTGCCATCGCTCATTGGGGTGGGGGTCAGCTGTTATCCTGAGGAATGTTATTTTTCTAATGAATACAGCCAGCAGCAAAGGAGATCCAAGATGAAGACAATATTCCGAGGGAAAACATAAAAATAAATGGAAATACAGATATGAAAGGGGAAAGGAGAGAACAAGAACTGTGTGTTGGTAAACTGTGTGTTGCTGAACTGGAATAAGAGATCAGTATGAATTTAACACTATTTTACTTTTTCAAGATTTATTTATTCTAATAAGTGAATTTATGTTTTTTAAAAATATATCTTCTACATCTGCAAAGATATCCCAGAAGCAAGAAAGCCCAGATCCTGGCTTCTAAGTATCATTTTCCACTAAAAGCAAGCTGTTTCTTTGAAGAGTGGCTGATCCCAGGCTGAGACTGGGAAGTGCAAGTCAAGCCTGCAACATCTGATTACACCAGGAATTAAAGAGCTCAATGCCAGGCATGGTGGGCATGCCTTGTAATCCTAGAGACTCTGGAGGCTGAGTCAGGAGGATCACAAGTTCTAGGTCAGCTCTGTTAACTTAGTAAGACCCTTTCTCAAAATAAAAATTAAAAAGGGCTGGAGATATAGCTCAGTCATAGAGCACCCTAGTATTCCATCCCAGGTACCGCAAAAATAAGTAAATAAAGGGGAGCTAAAAAAAAATGATGAGGATGTACCAAAAGAGCACAATAGCCAGCTCGAAGAAGCTCCCAGCCAAATTTGGAACAATTTGAGCATCAAAAGGAATAATGTCCCAAGTAAGTTGTAACACATGGAACAATAATTTTTAAAATCCCTGAGTCCATGCTGATAATATAACTACTATTATAAATAACAAAATTAACATGTCAAAATGTTGATGGGGAGGAAAGCTCTTCTTTACAATAGAATGCCAACTGCTGGCATTAAAATATTTTCCATCTCCTTAAAGGCATGTCTCCTGGATTGAGTGGCTTTTCCTTTTTTAAAATGCTGATGCAAACCAGGTGCAGTGGCACATGCATGTAATCCCATGTACTCAGGAGGATGAGGCAAGAGGATTGATCACAAGTTTGAGGCAGCCTGGGCAATTCATTGAGACCCTGTCTCAAAAAATTAAAAAGGGGCTGGGGAGGGGCTGGATTGTGGCTCAGAAGTAAAGTGCTCACTTATCATGTGTGAGGCCCTGGGTTCGAGTCTCGGCACCACATAAAAATAAATAAATATATTGTGTCCAACTACAACTAAAAAATAAATATTAAAAATATTAAATAAAAGGGGGGAGGGGGCTGGGGATGTAACTCGGTTGCAGAGCGCCCCTGGGTTCAATTTGCCAGTATTGCAAAAAATAATAAAGGCCATGGTGGTGCACACCTGTAATCCCAGCTATTTGGGAGGGTGAGGCAAGAGGATAGCATGTTTGAGGCTAGCCTCCAAAATTTAGTGAGACCCTATTTCAAAAATAAAAAAGGGCTGAGGGTATAGTTGAATGGTAGAGCATCCTTGAGTTAAATTCCTAGTACTACAAAATAAAGAGAAACATATGTCCCCTGAGTTAACATACCAAGAATTATTTATCCTCCTATCAAAGTGTTTATTATTATTATTATTATGAACATCACATCTAACATCTGTTTCTCTCAGTAACCCACCTACACCTACAAATGGTATTGCTGATTTTAGGATGTGTAAATTTCAATTTTACAAGATAATACCAAACTATCTCCAAGGTACTCAATTTCCACTCCCACTAACAATTTATAAGGGACCTTTTTAACCCACATTTTGAACAAGATGTGAAATTATCTCACCTTTTCATTTCTGCCAGCCAAATAGGGGTCAAATGTGTCTCTCATTGTAGTCTTGATCTTCATCTTCCTGACACTAAAGAGGTTAAATTTCTTTATTATTTATTAAACTCAAATGTTATGACATTCAAATTTTTTTATGTTTCACTGCCTAGTTTTCAAAAGGCATTAAGTCACCTAAGTCACTCATTAGTTGTTATAAAAACAGAGAAAGTACACTGCCTCGGAGAGAAAAAGGACTGTCTCATTGCTAAGTAGAGTTGGCTCTTCTATAATATGGATTAGGATTTACTTATTGGTGTTCATTCCAAAATGGATTTTTAAAAGTTTATACAGTTAAGACATCTATTCCTATAAAGCAGTAGTGACAGTATGACCTTTTCACTTCATTCAAATACTTTCCATGAAAAAGCTTTTATATATAATCCAGGATTTAAACAAAACATGATTTCAGCTTGAAGTAGATTCCCTTTATCATTCTCCATTTATATCTAGGCCACAGGAAATGATGTGACAATAGCAGATTTGATGTCTGAGGGAGTACATGCTGACTCATTTTTATTATAAAGGGATGACATTCGAGTCTAAATTTTTTACAAAGAAAATCAGATTGAGATTACTTTGCTGTTATGAAGCAATAAGTTGATGATAAAAATTCTTGTTTTGATTTTCTAATAAATCCAGTCTAGCAAAATTGATTAGGAAAATATCTTCCATAATTTCAGGTTGGTAGTCCACAGCCATAAAATTAACTTGGGTTCTTTCTTTTTTATTTTTCAATCATGAATGAGGTTTTTAATTGATTCCCAGGACATCTAGCTGTCACCAAGTCTGTGGCACAAAGGTTAGCTGGAGGTCAAAGTGATCAACTGCCCTGGTTTGCCTGGAAAAAAAAGGGTCTCTAGAATTATGACTTTGGTGCTAAAATCTGGCAAGTCCTGGAAACCAGAATAAACTGGTCACTCAGTTTGGAGTCTTAGTCAGCTCCAGGCTGGGCTGATTTGACTCAGGAAGCCTTCCTGAGGGGGGTTTTACCCTTCACCTCAATGGAGCCCTTCACAGTTTATGGAAATGAAGGAAAGAACAGAAATTTAATTGACAATACACAGAAACATGGGAATCTGGGAAACGTAGTAAATGCTTTCCTCCCACACTGGATGGTATCATGCTCAGTACCTATAAGTAAACCACACTGGAACTTTCCTAGGTTCTTATGTGTAGCAGTGATCATCAGCCCTGAATTCGAAAACCAGTTTCTTCCTTCTCTCACTCTCTCCCCTCCTCCCCACCCACCTTTTTCCCACCGCTGGATGGCACCACTGTACACTGCTAGGACCCAGCCTAGGGGCCACTTTCTACTTAAAATGAAGTCTGTCTGGTAATTGTCCCTCAGCATAGTGGATCTTTCTGGAAGGCTATTTTGTTGAGTCCAATACTTTTGAACTATGCACTGACCCTGAACTGGTGCTCAGGGAGGTCACAGTGACCTCATACAGGCTCTTCAAGGAATCCACCAAAGATGGATGGAAGAAGTGGCTGCTGCCCTTATAGCCAATGGGTCTCTCTGCACTATGCCACCTCAATTCTTGTGCAGCTGTTTAGAAAGAAACTAGTGTTCTCAGCTTCTTTAAAATTCATATTGATGCACTCCCTCTCATCCCACTTCTAATTATTTCCATAGATACGTCATTTCGGATCAAAGTCACCTGCATGATGCCTAGTGACTCCTACCTGCGCACCCTGCTTCACTGCCATCACCCTACAATCTGTGCTCAGGAGAATAACCATGAACATAATGTTTTACAACATCAAGTTAGTTCATGTTATATCTCCACTACAGCCCTCCAAGGGCTTTGTACTGCCCTCTGGGTAAGAAACAAAGGCCTTACCATGGCAGATGAGGACCTAAATGACCTGCCCACCACCTCCCTAAGCCCTCATCCACCCAGCTCCCACACACACTGTGCTGCTGCTGCACAGATGCCTCCAATGCTCAGTCTGCCTGCTCCAGCCACAGGCCTTTGCCTCACGCTTCCCTACTGGACACTGTCCACTTCCTCCCTTCAGTCTCTGCCTATTTGCCACCTGGCAGCGATCATCCTACTCACAACAGCAGCCCTCCCACCCCAATGTTCCTTCTCCCTCTCCCGCCTCTTTGCTGCTATTTCTTTCCTAGTACTTGGACCCACTGGACACACTGTATTCACTTGCTTGTCTGTTTACTGTTGGTCATCCAGGGTGTTTATCTGTTTTATTCACTTCTGTGTCCTCAACACTTACCCCTGGGCCTGGATTACTTGCCATTAGTAGGTGTGTTAGTCAACTTTCTGTTGCTGTGAAAAATACTCAGCTTATAAAGAGGAAAGGTTAGCTAGGTGGTGCATGCCTATTATCCCAGCAATTTGGGAGGTTGAGGCAGTTGCCAGCCTGGGCAGTTAGCAAGACCCTGTCTCAAAATAAAGGGCTTTTTATACAGCTCATTGGTAAAGCATTTGCCTACCATGCATGAGGCCCTGGGATTAATTTCTAGCACTGCAAAAAAAATAAAAAGGGCTGGGGGTGTGGCTCAGTGATAGAGACCTTATAGGTTCAATCCCCTGTAACACCAAAAAAAAAAGGATAAAGTTTATTTTTGACTGTTGGTCAGCCCATTAACAGTTGGCTCTGTGGCTCTTGGGCTGTGGCAGCATAATACATCATAGTGGAAGCATGTAGGGAAAGGAACTGTTCACTTCATGACAGCCAGGAAGCAAAGATAAGAAGAGGAAGGGGCTGGGGTCCCAATATCCCCTTCAAGGGCACACCAGTGACTTAACTCACTCCAAGGCCCCACTACCTCTCAATAGTACCACGAGCTGGGGACCAAGCCTTCAAAATATGGGACTTTAGGAAACACCCAATTCATAGCAGAACTTAGGGAAGTGACTTCAGTCTCATCACGGACTAGGGTAGGCACTAGCAGGAAAGAGAAGCCGAGTGGCTTCCTGTTGTGTTTCTTGTTTTTTCTACCAAATTTTCTCAGCTACTTGGTCTGAAACCTTCTTTTTCTTAGTGTGTTCACAAAATTCTTTTTTGTAAATATCCTAAGGAAATTTGGCCCTTGCAGACAGCTGATTATTGTGGTACCTACTCCCACTTTACCCAGATCCACTGCTCCCTCCCGTGACAGCCTGGTTGAGAAAGCTTCCAGGAGGGTCAGGAGCAAAGCTCTGTGGCAGGGCTTCTATCTTCCTTGGACCTTCCAGAACTTGCCACAGACCTAAATCATACAGAGTCCTAGATGCAGGGGAGCCTGAGGAGGGAGGTTATAGCTCCCAGCCTCTGCAGAATTAGCACACACAGAAGAGTAGCTTCAGATGGTGGATTATAGTCCATTAGCAATCTTGAGGTCAATTTACTGGAATAGAAGCAGCCTCTTTTTCAATGAAATTGAATAAACTAGAAAATGTCAGAGTGTACTATATAGTCTAAGTATTATTTCATGAAACTTTTTTGTCCAAGCATCAATCCAAAACTATTAATCAGAATTTCCGGGGAACTGAACTCCCTTAAAAGATTTCCAGTTGATTATAATGTACAGACAGAACAAGAGCCTCAGGAGTCTGGCACCCATGGATCTAAGCCAGCATCTGGCCACATTGACAGTCACAGGGCAAACCTTTCTCTGAAGTCTGTCAGCATCCAGCGTTCTTTCTTGTGCCCAGGCTAGACCTTCTTTTTCTCTCTTCCTGTTTCAAAGTCCATACTTCCTTTGAGGTACCTACTCAACTTCCTGTTTACCACCCACTGACTGATTAGACTTTTTATCTACCCCTTGAACTGGACAAGCCTCTAGGATGGCTTATGTATCATCAAGGGGAGAGCTTCCAGGATCCCATTACCAGGGTCAACATCCTAAGCAGACAGTCAAAGCACCAAACCAGTATCTTGGGAGAGAGCAGAATTCATCAAAAGCATCAGCAGAGCCAGTAATCAGGTTAAAACTTGTACTCTCACCTTGTACACAGGCTGAGGCAGAAAAATTGCAAGTTCAAGGCCAGCCTGGGCAACTTAATGAAACCCTCTTTTAAAATAAATCAAAGGGCTGGGGATGTAGCTCAGTGGTAGAGCACCCCTAGGTCCAATTCCCAGTACTGTGAGGAAAAAAGAAAAGAAAAAGCACCAGCAGCACCTCAGCCTGCAGGCATGTGAGGGAATAGAGCCAAAACAAGGGTCCTGGTGCCTCTGGAAATCCACTTATTATCCATCTGGCCAAGGATAGGGCTAGAGGGGCTCTCCTTTCTGACAAAGTTAGTTAACCCTCAGGCCAGAGAAGTATTTGCAGAGCAGTCACATCAGAATGCCTTTGGGAGAACATCTGGAGAGGCCACTCCAGGAGCAGCAGGACAACCCCCTGACCCTTCTGTTCTTCACACATCCCTTTGCTTCCTCCACCAGGGCCTGGACTGGAGCTGGCTGCCATGCTCAGACCCTGCACACAAAACAGTCAGGAGCCATACACAGGTTTGGGGGAAACAGGAAGAGGGACAGTCAACAAATTGAGGCTGATCCTCCATTGCCCTCCTCAGTGTTGTTCCCCTCCACTGTCTTAATCACCCAGCAGGAAATTTGGGGATTATTCCTCTGCAGGTCATAAAAAGATGAGCAATTTTTGTGTTCATCTTCATTTTCTGTATTTTCTAATTTACCTACAAATTAAGCATGTAAAGAAAATACTAAGGCTTCCAACTTTCAAAAATAATTAAATCTCTTCCTCCAGCCATTTGTAAAAATGCATAGTCATCCCCTCCTGAAGAAAGGCAAGTGGGACCTGCTTCTAGATGACTTTAGATTCTTTGAATCTATCAAAGGATGCTTTGTTGCTGAGCACAGTGGTCAGGCCTGTAATCCCAGCAACTTGGGAGGCTGAGGCCAGAAGATTAAAAGTTCAAAGTACTAAGCCAGCTTGAGCAACTTAACTAGACTGTCTCAAAAAAAAAAAAAAAAAAAAAAAAACCCGGGGATGTAGCTCAATGGTAGAGTGCCCCTGGATTCAATCCTCAGTACTGAAGGCAAAAAAAAAAAAAAAAAGATGCTTTTCAGTGAAGCCATCTGAAGAACTATAGATTTATGCTTGGGGAGGCCTGACAAAAAAGACAGTTCCACAAGGCTTAGTAAGAGAGATATGGATAATGTGCTTTGCATCCATGAAGCTCATTGTGAGAGACAATGTGAGAATTTTCAGCGATGAAATGATTAGTTATGAGGTGAAACCTCAGTAATGGATTAACCTACTGATATGGATTCACTGGGCTGTAAGGAAGTAGGTTACCAGCGGTATGACTCAGGAGTTTATATTTTGTCCCTGGTGAGCAAGACTCTCTCTGCTTCCTAGTTGCCGTATCCTGAGCTGCTTTGTTCTGCCACATCCTTCCACCATGATGTTCTGCCCAACCTCGAGCCCAGAACTACCAGCAAATCATGGACTGAATCTGTAAACTGGGAGCTGAAATAAACATTTCCTTCTCTGTGTTGTTCTTGTCAGTCTTTTGGTCACAGCCATGAAAAGCTGACTAAACAGATGCCCTTTTCATGTAAATTTCAGTCCTCAAGTCAAAGCCAGACAAGCACATGGAATCCAAAGCAGTCATGACCTCTTTTTTCGCCACTTGCCTGAGAACTTAACCTTTCACCTGGAGATACCAACAGATACCAGGACAAAGTGCCCAGGACAAAGACTCTGGAGGACAGGTGCAAATGGAACTCCTTTTGTCTCCTGCAGCCTAGCCACAAAGTTGGGAGGATGGACATCTGGTGTATGTAACAAGCATCCAAACAACTAGGGAACATCAGTGTCACAACCAGAGCTGAAGGGAATCTTAGCTCACCTCCTTTTTTGATAGATGGGTAAACAGAGGCCAGTGACCGTGGTGGCTTTCTTGAGATCACCCAACTGACACCCAATGATGGTGAACCTGTCATGACCTGGTTTCCTGGCTCCCAGGCCACTATTTGCTCCCTGATACCATGGCACCTTTGTATACATTCCTGACACTGCTCCAGTGCTTCAGCCAGCCTCTCATGGCGCATCACAGCCTCCACTGCCTGTGCCAACCTGCCTGAGCAGCTTCCAGGACTGTCCCACAAGGGCAAATGATTAATGTACTTGTAAACTGACTGATCTGCAAACATGACCATGGGCCTGTGGAATGAGTGAGTGGCTTCTACATTTGGTCACCCAGGAGCCCTTCCTTATGTTGGGCAGATGAAATTTAAAAAAAAAAAAAAAAAACCCCAAGGCTCTTTCATTCCCTCAAAACATAACTCCTGAAGAAGAGCAAGCAAGGGCTGGTGTTAAGGAATAGACATGACCTCACTCCATTGCCTGTGCCCTCTCTTCTTGTTTTTTTTTTTTTTTTTTTTTTTTTTTTAAAGAGAGAGTGAAAGAGGAGAGAGAGAGAGAGAATTTTTAATATTTATTTTTTAGTTCTCGGCGGACACAACATCTTTGTTGGTATGTGGTGCTGAGGATCGAACCCGGGCCGCACGCATGCCAGGCGAGCGCGCTACCGCTTGAGCCACATCCCCAGCCCCCCCCCTCTTCTTCTTTTCTCCTCCTCCTCCTTTCTTCCCAATACTAGGGATTGAACTGAGGGATGCTCTACCAATGAGCTATACTCCCAGCCCCTTTTTTATTTTTATTTTGAGACAAGAAGTCGCTGAGTTGCTAAGGTTGGCCTTGAACTTGTGATCCTCCTGCCTCAGCTTCCCAAGTAGCTGGCACCACCTCTATGGTCCCCTGCCTTTCTTTTTTTTTTTTTGTGTGTGTGTGTGTGTGTGGTGCTGGGGACTGAACCCAGGGCCTTGTGCATACGAGGCAAGCACTCTACTAATGAGCTACATCCCCAGCCCCCACTTTTTTTGGTTGTTGATAGACCTTTATTTTATTTATTTACATGTGGTGCTGAGAATCGAACCCAGTGCCCCACTCATGCCAGGCAAGTGCTCTACTGCTGAGCCCCAGCCCCAGCAGCCCCTGCCCTTCTTGAATTGACTTTTGTAGCTTATCTCCCCTGTATTCACTTCCAGTTTCATCTACATACATTCAGATGGGAAAGATGGGTAACACAGTGATGAGCCTTCCAATCCCAAGGGGCATTAACAACAGATACTAATGCAACAGGAAGACCACTAGTGTCTATCTGGTGGGTACTAGATCACAGATGAAGAGGCGGCCTTACCCAGGGAATTTCCATTGGCCTAGGAAATTAAGGGAGAGACTCACAGTTCATTGCAGGGGTGAAAGGAATGTAATGTGAGCTTGGGAATTTCAGACATCTGCAGTTCCTGAGGACTTCATAAGCAGCTTGTATTTTTAGCTCTCTACAAGAAACCAACCTGAAGGAGTCCCCCCAAGTATGAATTAACCAGCATGCTGGCCATGCTCATGCTGGTGGCACCAGATAGTGATGTCGTTTAGAACTTGACATCTCCTTTTATTGACATTGTCTTTGTTTTAAATTATATTTGGGGACATGACACCGTATTTAGGGCTTATAAAGATCCTAACTTGGCTCTGCAGCTACCCATTCCAAAAGAAAATGGAGTTGTTGATGGATTAATAAAGATTAACAAAGTACAGAGTTTATGAAGCACTCGCTACCACCTGGCCCATATGAGTTAGGGACCCCAACTAAAATAGTTTACAAAACTGGATGCAGGAAGCATTTTGAGAACAAATGAATATTAAATTATGGTTATGGGATAGGATATACTTGTAAAAGCTGCCATATGCTTAGAGTAAACAGAAAAGGTGTCAGAAAAGATGTGGACTTAGGAAGGGTCTTCAGGAGTAGTCAGAAGTATGCACATGTGGGCTGTAATTGTGGCTCAGTGGTAGAGTGCTTGCCTATCATGCATCAATCCTCACCACCACATACAAATATAAAAAGATATTGTGTCTACCTACAACTAAAAAATATATTTTTAAAAAGGGGGTTAAGCGTGTATGTGCATGGATTTGTGTGTGCATGTAATACAGCATGACGTGTGGTAGGCACTTGGTAAGGTGGGCTGGGTCTGAGGAGGGAAGAAACAGGTGAGCCAGCACACACAGTGGAGGTCCTGGGTGCATACTGTTAGACACTGAGGAATCTACCTGAACACTTCAGAGTGATGAGGAAATGTTAGGTGGACACAGCTAAATAATTAAAGGCCTGGAAAGACATTGTCAGCAGGGAATTCAGGTGATTAGCAGCGGAAAGGAAACCTAGAGACAGAAGACCCTGATCTGAAAAGAAACTTGGCTAAGTTGGGTAGTCAGGTGCCCTCCCAAAACTGATGTCATTCCTTGGGTATCCTTTCCCAGGGGAGCATGTTAAAGTTGGTGTTACAGAAAGTCTCTGAAATTACCAAGGAACCCAATTCATGGCCAGCAGGTTCCTAGATACCAAGAGAACAGAGAGTCCCCAGAACATACCCTACTAAGGAAAAGAGTGGAGGACAGTACCTGGCACTGCAGAGGGCCCAGGAAAGGGGTGAGAAAATCAGTGACTGGCCTGCCTCCCTTCTCAAGGATGTCTTTTCAGGATCTGCTCTTTGCACCAGTGAGGAAACAAAAAATTGGGGGGGTCCAAAAATGCTGGCATAGCTTTTGTTGAGCTCCTGTTGCAAGCATCTGGCCTACGGAAATTCCAGAAATGCTACATCCCTGGAGGTGACACTGTCACTTATTGTCCCTCATGCTCCCTTAGCAACCATCGAACCTCTGTGGTCAAAGGGTGACCAGTTATTGCATCGTGAGGCCATAGCCTTGACATTCAGATGGCTCATTCTCCACAATATCCCAACTGGGGTTTATGAGTTTAGCACCTATGACAGCAGTGCCTGGGGACCCCCTCATCCTGCCAAGGAAGATGCAGAACACGGGGCTGTTTCTGTCTGCTTCCATCTGCATGCACCTCCCACAGATCCAGAAGACTGAGGCGTCTGAATGCTCTCTGCTTGTCCCTAATGTAAAACCTTGCTGACTGTTATTGGCGGAATTCTTGTACATGATTTCTGCCTGATATCACATGTCATATCATGTTGTGTTATGTCATAGCAGTGTGGTCCTTGTTGGAAAGGCAGAATAAGAGGTTTAAGCCCCACCTCTTTTTATCACATGATTTTGCTGAGGTACCTCAGCAAGTTACTTAATGTCTTTCAGTCTCCTTTTACCATTCAAACGGAAGCAATAATACTAAGAACTTTTGAGGGCTGCTGGGTGGGTGGGTAAATGGAAACACATAAAGTACTTTGCACAGTTCCCAGCATTCAGAAGGGATCACCTAAGTTTAGTTTTCTTATTGTTATTAGAACAATATTAGAACATTCAGCTATTATTCCATGTTGTTCCTTATGACAGTGGGGACATACAAAGAAAACTTAGAAAATCATTTTCCAAAGATATTTTTATAGAACTCTAGACATGAGAAAGACCTCAAGACCCCTGTCCCCAGGCTGAGCCACACCTATACCACTGAAGAGATTCATTTTTTAAGGGGCAAAATTCTCATAGAGGACAAAGTGCCTCAGCCTCCCTCACAGCCTCCCAGACTGAATCATGACATTTATGGCTTTCCTTCCAGGTCTAGTTGATGTGCTTCCTGCTCCTTTTTGTTCTCTCGGATCTCTTTCATGTTTCATGTTAGGACACGAACTTCTCGGTATTCAAACCAATTGAATCAACTTCTAGAGACCCACTTCTCCCAGACAGCTCAGCCAGGGAGGCACCCTTCCCTCCAGCTGCAGCCCAGGTCACCCTGAAGACCAGACAGTAAAAGAAGTGCGCACTGAACACGGAGTCCTATCATCTTTCCTCCATAGCTGCTCCTTGAGCCTTAAGTGAGCAAGGGCAACGTGGCTCGATTCCAGCTGCTCCCATTTATTCTGCCCCAAATTACAGTTTCTACCTAGCATGTACCACAGTATTTTGGTCCATGTTGGAAAAATAGAATACCAGGTTTAAGTCCCTCTGGCTCAGTTCCAGCCACCAGAACCACAGTCTGCAACAGTCCAGTGAGGTTAACCAGGGCCACATCCCTCTCAATCCAGAGTCCAGTCTCCTTAGCTGGGACCTTTTTACTCAGAACTTCTGTGTTCTGAATAACTCTTCCTGGCACTTGTAGGGGAACATAGGAGATGAACTCCAAGGTAGGGACCCCATATTTCTGTGTTCACCCAGTGTCTGGCCCATGCTGGCACATAGTAAGTGCTCAATGTAGAGAGTGAAGGAATGAGAGCTGGGCACGATGGCACATATCTGTAATCCCAGCATCTTGGGGGGCTGAGGCAGGAGTACTGCAAATTTAGACCAATCTCAGCAACTTAGCAAGGCCCTAAGCAATTTAGCAAGACACTGTCTCAAAATTAAAAATATCTTTTAAAAAGAGCTGGTTATGGGCTGGGGATGTGGCTCAAGCGGTAGTGCGCTCGCCTGGCATGAGTACGGCCTGGGTTCGGTCCTCATCACCACATACAAAAACAAAGATGTTGTGTCCCCCGAGAACTAAAAAATAAATATTAAAAAATTCTCTCTCTCTCTCTTTAAAAAAAAAAAGAGAACTTGCCTAGCATGTGTGAGGCACTGGGTTCCATCCTCAGCACTACACAAAAATAAATAAATAAATAAGTATTTAAAAAAAGGGCTGGTTATGTACTTTATTATAAAAAACCCCTGGGTTTAATCCCCAGTGGAAAAAAAAAGAATGAATGAAAAAATAAATGAATGAGGGCTGGGGATGTGGCTCAAGCGGTAGCGCGCTCGCCTGGCATGCGTGCGGCCCAGGTTCGATCCTCAGCACCACATACCAACAAAGATGTTGTGTCTGCTGAGAACTAAAAAATAAATATTAAAAAAAAATTCTCTCTCTCTCTCTCTCTCTCTCTCTCTCTCTCTCTCTCTCTCTATCTCTATCTCTATCTCTCTCTCTCCTCTCTCACAAAAAAAAATAAATAAATGAATGCTCTAATGAAATTCAGTAGATGTCATTGGGTTTGTTCCAAAGGCAAGGCACAGGACATAATTATTTTTTTCTTTTTTCCCTGGGACAAGGGATTAAAACATTGAGCTAAATCCCCAGTTCTTTTAATTTTTTGAGGGTCTCACTAAGTTGCTCAGGCTGGCCTTCATCTCTGCCTCACCTTCCAGGGTCTCTAGGATTATAGGTATGTGCCACCATGCCTTGCCAGGACCTAAGATCTTTGAGTAATTATCTGTTGTCCCACCAGATCCACTCTCCGGTATCCAGCACCATGTCCCAGCAGGCTAACCTGTAT